AGCGCGAATGCCAATTTCAGTTTTCAACCTTTCTGTTTAAAAATCTATGAGCCGGGCACTAAATTGTGGTGGATCCAGTTGTCACGACTCGCATTGACAGAACAACAATAAATGACAATGGTAAGAAAACGAGGCTGAAGGCAAACAAAATAAAACGAGTAGAATCGAAAAAGTGCGTTCAACCAATCGGAGTGGAATGAAAACTGATAGTTATACACAATAAACCGAATGCAGGAATGCCACTGACTGAGTGTCTTCGTCATGTGCGATAGAGTCTGTAAACACTGATGTGGATCATCCTAGGACCCCCAAGCAGGAAAGCGGCACGCGCCAACCTCCCGCTGTGATACCATATCATCCACTGGTCACCTCGCGGTTTTGCCCAACTTGGTAAAGCCACGGTGTATAATGCATGCCGAGCAAGCCAGTCAACGGAAAAGCGCGTCGGGACAGCCGTTCGCATGGCATGCGTAAAAGGTCGCTCAGCCATCTCAGTTGACGCAGCGGTACCAGTCTGTCAAGTGGAAGTCCCGTTTTACCCAAAAATCGACGTCTACCATCATCGTTGCGCACGTGGTCTATCCACCATATTCGAGCTATTCTCCGCAGATATCCATTGTCAAAGGCCGAAATCCGACGCAAGTCATTCACACGAATCGGCCAGGACTCACTCCCATACAGCAGCACCGCGCGAACACAGGTATTGTAGACCCTGTCCTTTACAAATAGTGAAACGCCACGGCGTCGCCGCAGATGCCTCAAGTTGGCAAATGCCGAACGGGATTTGGCAATGCGGATAGAAGTCACTTTTCCAATGCTACCATCAGCAGAAACACAGCTTCCCAGGTAAACAAAGTTGCCCACCTGTTCAAACTGCTTATCATTAAGAGTGAGCATCGGTGCAAGTGGATGACAATCCAGGACCAGCACCTTGCATTGCGTAGAGGCAAAGGTAATGCTATGTTTTGATGCTTCAATCGCCAAGTGGTTTAAAACAGCCTGTGAGCACGATGCGTCATCACCAAGCAAGGCAATATCATCAGCATAATCTAAATCGGTCACGCGGTTGCCAGGAAGAAGCTCTACACCAGAACACTGAAATCCCTCGAGTGTTTAAAAGGACTATCTCGATCGCAAATTTGAAGAGAAACAAGAACATGGGGAAACCCTGTCGTACAGCGTTAGTGAGGGCAAAAAGTGAAGACATCACTTTACCCCAGACATTGCAATATAATGCTCGAAAGATGGCGATAGACTTTTCAGAATTTCCATTTTTTTGTAAGCAACGCCATAACGTTGGCCGATCGACGGTGTCGAAAGAGGCTCGGATGTCCAGACAAACGATAGTGGGCTGGCGGTAGAGATGACGCGTTGCAAGGAGTTGGCGCAGCGTAAACAAGTGGTCTAGACACCAACAACCGAGGCAGAAACCAGCTTGTTCTTCACAAGAGCGCAATTCTCGAATCGGGGTTAGTCTGCAGAGTAGAATGAATGTTAACAGCTTGGAAGCAAGGGACATTAAACTGATTCCTCGGTGGTTAGCGCATAGGGTACGGGCAGCTTCCTTGAAGATCAGGACGATAAATGACTTGCCAAAGCGGATGCCAGTGTTTCTTCACACCACATCTCAGAGAACAGAGCTGTTACCTGGTTGACAATTACTTCGCCCTCGAACTCGAACGGAGGAAGTCCCTCTGGGCCAGCAGAATAGATTGGCTTCAAGTGTCAGAGCTCAAGGCAGACCTCAGCTTCAGTGGGTGGTTCCAATGAGATGTTCCAAGGCGCGCAACTAGGTATACTCAATAGGGTCGTCGGCGGAGGCCATCTAATTGAATGCGGAAGTATTCAGCCCAGCGGTTCACACGCCTGCGTAAGCTGCTTAACAGCATTCCGTCAAACTCGTAAATGGCTAGACTGACACCAGGTCTTTTGTGACCAGTGGCCCGAATGACCTGGAAGAGCTAGCGAAAGTTTCCAGAGAAAGCTGCCGTTTCCATCTCGGAGGCGCGCTTCGACCACCAAATTGCACGATCAGCACACAGGCTTTGCGTAATTTGTTGGCTGAAAATGCGACGCAATGCACTGCTATTTGAATCGGCTGGGATAGCTCTACGACGATCAAACAATTCCAATGAGTGTGCAGAAATCCAGCCCTTCAGATGGCGCCTTGTGATTCCGCAGATTGAATAACTGGAGGTTGGCATCGCTTCACGCAGGAAACTTCAATGATTTTCGATGCATCGAGGTGGAGCACCAATAAATGCATGCGATAAGGAAGCTTGATAAGTTGATCGAGTAGAGAGGTCAGCTAACTTGTTGGTGTCGAGAGTATGGAGCTTTCGTTTTAAGGAGCCGCCGAAGCGCATGCAGATGTCCGCGCAGACCAAAGCATAATCTGAATCGAGGTACGTAGACCAAATCGATCTACAACCAGGGACGCTGCCTCGCCATCTAAAGCTGATTACAATGTCATCTATTTGTGACCACGCTTGCGTTGGTGAAGGAGGACGCCAGGTGGCTGCGCGTCTTCTGGAATGCCTAAAGTTCGTACTTGAGAGAAAGAGACGATACGAGGAGACATGTTTCTAATAGTTCTGTTCGTAGAGACAGTTCTCATAACGTAAAGAAAACCATCTACCCGCTCAAGCCGTGTTTTCGATGGCGAACTGAAGGAGAGGATTCTAGCAATCCTGATTATTAACAAATGAACACGCCTATGTAATGAAGGTGTATGAGTAACAGAAGCAAGATTATTTAGGCGTGATATGGCAAATGAACCCATGGTTTCTACGGAGGGCGTGATACTACCCGGTTGCTCAAGCCAAAGTATGGAGTTAACTTAAAGGAAAGCACCACATGCTTTTGGTTGAATATCCTACCCACAAGGCAGCTGGGCTCGAATTCGGGAAATCGCGCCCATTGGGAGTCAGTGATTGATTGCGCAGTCTATAAGTCATAGGTTCGGTGAGTGGACAAACAGGACCCAATCCTCTCTAGAAGTCAGCATACAGTTGCCAGAGTAAAATGCTCCACAGATGTGAAGCCAGAAGCAATGACTTTATTTAGTGGTGAGTCAATTCGCTTAATCTCAATGTGTTGTTAAACAGATATTTGTGGCTCATTGTAGGGAGAACGCTTGCCAGGCGAAGACCCCCGACGTCTTAGAACACTGCTGTCGAACAACTGGCAGGAACTAAGCAGTCGCGAACTACCAAACTGATGCTACAAGTTTGTTCGGCAACACTTCTGACGTCCCGACAACCTGTGCCGGTTAAGACTAGCAGCAGCATTGTAGCAAGTATCGCGTCAGCAGGAGTCTGTCGATTCCGTATTTCGAAAACAGGAAAAAGTACTCCTTGTACAGAATCAACATTTTGGCTTTGATAGTAAAAGACCACCATAGTCCGCACACAGAACCGGCGATTGAAAGTCAATAAAATTCGGACGTAGAAAACTGAGCACTATCGTCCACTATGCAAATCATCAACATTACAATCAACGGCAGCAAAACAATACTTTGCTATCATTCAACGAAGTATAGGCACCGATGACGCGAGGGGGAGGAAATAACAAGATGGGTGAAACAAAACCCAAAAGAGCTGAGTAAGTTATGAGGATCAAAGCGCCTACACCTTGCCAACAAAGTATGATCACAAAGAGGTGGCCGTCGCGTCAAGGTAAAACAGAACCCGTGATATCAATTCATAAGGAACCTCACTCCACAAATATAAAATGTTATAAGCATGCAATCCGGTAGGGAGACCACAACAAACACTACCAATGCAGGATATGTGCACTAACGACTTAAGCCAATCATATGTTAAGTCACAAGGACAACAGTTTGGAAGATGACAATGGCGGACAGTGACTTATTCACGATGGTCGTTGCTATCCCCCGTAGCTCAGCGGTCTTAACCACAGACTGGCAACAATCGAGTTGCGGGTTCGAGCCCTACAGGAGTCAGATGGAATGCGTACTGCTGACGATTCCCGAAAAGATGAAACGGCCGTACAGTGCTTTCCGGGAGTGTGATGCCTGTCTAGGTGAGATTATATGTGATGAATTTCTACTTATATCAGTCAACTCTCCCTACTACTCTTCGGTAATCAGTATGCAATATGTCAACCATAGACTAAGCTCCTCATTCTAAACTATATCGTCGCCATTGTAGAAATCCGAACGATCTGACATGGTGAGCAGAGCAAGCCTCCCCTCTCTACGTAGTGATTACGCAATAGTAGCGGGTGCCTGGTACCCACATGCGCAACTCGAGTCTGCGGACATGTTGGTGTCACCAGATGCACAAATTTTGGGCATCCAACTAGATTAAAGGAGTTGGTCGCCAACGTACTCTTATCACATTGTGTGTGTGTGTGTGTGGGGGGGAAGTGGCTGCTCTGTTGTGTAGTGGCTAAAGCAATTATCATGTATAAAAGCTTTCCTACATGAAAAGCAGCAAGCGCTGCTCTTAACTATTATACTGTATAAATTAATCGCTAGTGATTGCAACTAGAAATCCACTGAAGTCATCCACGATGTTTTACTACTTGCAATGAACCCAACGCAGTGAAGAGGTGAACTTAAAATCACAAGATGCTGTAAAATAAGCACAGCCGACTATTGGGGAACGATGGGTCACTCGGTGGGGGGAGGGGGAACCTTGACTTATGCATGGCCGGAGCCTGCATAGCAATGGAAAGTGATTTGCTCTGTGTCGCAGCTAGGAATCCAGCGGCGACGATAGCAGCCACCAAGAAAGACGAGGTGACTTGAGCTGATACATAGTATGAAAGTGGATTGCAATCCCGCTAGATTCGGCAAGAATGTATGAAATCGATAAGTTCAAGGCTTTCCCAGATGTATAATAACTGATAGACCGGGGCCACCAGCTATCATACAAACGATAATGCCAAAGAATCGATGTTTCGCAACCGGGTAACAGTCAGAACAGGCCAGACCTCGAGGGGGCTTAAACGCAGGACAGACAGAGGCGGATGCGTTATGAAGGGTACTTTGATGGCAATGTGCCAGTAAATACATGAATACGTAGCAAATGAAAGCCAGACAAATCGAAGTATAGTAATACAAAGCTGTAAACCGACCTGGTGACGATAGGGTCCGCCGCGTGATTTGGACCCCACCGGCCAAGTTCACCACGACCAGTGATACCAGTTCTACCGCGAGGATTAAGTGGGAGTCCATTGCTGTCCAAACGGTATCTGCCCATGAAGCTGGTGCGATCCACCTTGCCGTCTACCTCATTGAACCGTAACTTAATTTCAGGATGAGCTCTGGAAAATAACGGTGGAGTAAGGAAAATAAACCATTTAAGAGGTGAAGTAACAAGCCCCACTGCCAAAATGCTTGAAAGGACATAGAGCGAATAAATCAGCCTAGCAGATATAAACAAGAGTGCACAAAAGCGGCATTCACTCTGAGAAATACAGGACACTTTATTCACCCCCGAACCGGAAAGGTATGTTCACAATTTTACGTCGTTGCACTTGGAAAAGACGCTACTTGAAGTGCTCTCACTTGGTCCAAACTTTTGTTGTCCCCGCAGTTATGCAAGACAATTAGAATTAGAAGTGCAGTTCGAAAATTTGTATGCGCAAGTTTCTATGCTTACGCCGTCGTCAGCATTAGCCTCTGAGCATTTTAAGTCTACCCTGGTCAATACTTGTTACCAATATCTGAAATACAAACCTAAACTTAGGTATTTGCTGAAAAAAGACCACATAGATGCTCTCAAAGCTCTCAAACAAAATGAGAATGTGCTCCTTCTAAGGCCTGATAAGGGAACAGGGATCGTGTTGATGGAGAAAGCTGATTATATCGACAAGATGAACGCGATCCTCAGCAATCGCTCGAAATTCCGGAAAATGGAGAATGAAAAGGACAAAACTGCAGCAATAGAAAAGACAGTTACTAAGCTTTTACGGTGCTTGAAACAGGAAAACATGATTGACTCCGCCACGTTCGAATACATTCGTCCCACAGGGACAGTGATCACGAGACTCTACGGCTTACCGAAGGTGCATAAGGAAGGACATCCACTAAGGCCCATACTAGACATGTGCAATTCACCGTATCACGCAACAGCCAAGTGGTTAGCTAAGCTTCTAGAGCCGGTGAGAAATACTATTTCCAGGTACAGCCTACGAGACACATACAGTTTCTTAGACTCCATAAGACAGCTTCAGCTAACCGGAAGAAAGGTGTTTTCATTGGATGTGCTGTCGCTTTTCACCAATATTCCGTTAGAAGAGACAATAGACGATATATGTGACACCGTTCGAGACCATCAACTGGGTATCGGGCTTTCAAGTGATCGTTTGAAGCAGCTACTCCTGCTGTGTACTAGTAACATACAATTTCAGTTTAACGGGGCCATATACAGACAAAAAGATGGCGTAGCAATGGGCTCACCGCTTGGACCACTACTGGCTGATGTGTTCATGAGCAAATTAGAGAATACTTATCTGAGCGGAGTCATTACTAGCCTACCATACTACGGACGATATGTGGATGATATATTTTGCGTGACAGACAGACATTGTTGCCCAGAGACAATTTTATTCTATTTTAACTCAGCGCACCCAAATGCCAAGTTCACTCTAGAAACTGAAAGCAATGACACGATGTCCTTCCTAGACGTTCATCTTAGTAGGAGACCAGATGGATCAGTCCAACGGAGGGTACATAGAAAAGCAACGTGGAACGGACAATATGTACATTTTGCCAGTTTTGTCCCAATAAATCAGAAACGCAACTTGATTAGATGTCTAACCGAAAGGGTCAGAAGGATTTGCAGTGAGGACACACTTGCGGACGAGCTTAGTTTCTTAAGTGGCGTCTTCGAGAGAAACGGCTATCCAGAAAAATTTGTTCGGAAATATATGTAATGCAGAGAAATGAGAGCTAAACCAGCTTCGGTAGGAAAGAAACCGGTTTATTTGTCGTTGCCATTCAAGGGGGACGGTATAGCGCAGGCAACAGCAAGAAGATTATCCGACGCTATGAGCCATACGTACTAAGCAGCGAGCTTGCGGCTAAGTTTTACTTCAACACCAATCGTGAGGCCCCAACTCAAAGACAGACTTCCTTGGTCATGTACTTATTATTGTGTATATTCCTTCTCTTGTTCATGTCGAGCAAGATACATCGGAAGAACTACAAGGAGGCTGTCTGAGAGAATACGCGAGCATTGTCCAGCTAACCTAAGCAATGGTTCGAGAAAAACTGTGATGAGCGCCGTGTTGGCACACTTGGTTGATTCTAATCACCAAATCGACACCCGCCAATCTTTCCAGCCCATTTACCGTGTACCTGGACGTCTTTCACGTGCGGTAAAATTGTCGCTTACTAGCAGCAGCTGAGGCAATTGCTATCCGCCACCAGAACCCAGACTTATGTGCTCAAAAACGATTCGTTCAGATTCTGTGTTTGCCCTGGCCCTCTATCACAACGACTCGTTGAGGGACATGCCGGCGATAGTCCATCGATCACTTCTGATCTGTTTTACAATGATCTTGAAGTTTGAACTCTACCATTATCTGCTGTTTTATGTTAATCTTATCCCTATCAGTTGTGGTGTTTTAGCCTGATGAGAGCCACCGAAAACGAGCTTGTTCGCTAACTTGTCGTTCTGATGAAATACAGGACAGCCACCACCTTTCGTCGCAAATAAAAATTCGATTATAGATCACGAGCAGTGCAAAACAACGAATAATGCATGTGGCAAGAAAAATAGCAAGTTTACAAGGGAAAAACCATGAAATGCAGTTGCTCTAATTCGAAGAGTATACGCCTGAACAAACGTTGTGAGAAACAAATGCAAACACCGGTTGAGAAGAGGTAAAGACAACCCATAACCATGCAAGATACGTATTGAAAAAGTCTAAGTGCTGGTTGATGTATAGACTATCATCGTGTGCCTTCATTGGGATTCCCAGCCTAAATAATCATCATCATCCCCATCAACCGTACACATTCGCTGAAGGCAATAAATACACTTCAGTTGATGTGCCGCGATAAAATACATAAAAAGGAGATACAAAATATTACCGAATACGTAATATGACGCTTAGTGTCATATTACGTATCACGTGTGAGAACGTGGTTGGAGGAGGAAGATAAGCGGGAGGGAGAGGGACAAAGAAACTCACAACACAAACGCCATTGGGGCCAGCTCGACAAAACGTGTTTACCCCTATTCAGACTACAGCCCGGCAGTCAGGAGACACCAATCGATGCCAACTTCGAAGTGAGAGTCTATTAGCCTCCTCTCCTCTTTCTCCATCCACAACCCTGACGCAAAAATAACGCACGACGCGAGAGTCGGTGTGATGGCATGCGCAACACCTGGTCCAGCCATCGGAGCCTGGTGCGCGATGTAACAGTGCCGAACGATTCACTCGCTCTTCCCGCACCAAATAAGCGACGTCGAACACGTTCATTGTTCACGCGGTGTTCCCAGAAAACATGATATGGGCTGCGAAGGTAGTGATGATTGAACGTAACTAGCCTCTGCCGATCTTTTGAGCCACGTTTCGTATCTGCACAGGAGGGTTGAAAAGTGGGCTGCATTGTAAACTCTACGAGAGTGGTGTCGCACCGGCGCTACATGTAGCAAAAATTGACAAAAGCGCTTCGAACTTGCGCTGCATGGTTTATGATCTCATCTTCGATCCGATGGGCGCCAATGGGTTGCAGAGATACTTGAATTTATGGACGACTTCTAGCTGATCCCCAACAACGGTCAGGGTATGGTTGGGTCCCTGATAATCTAAGAGAACGAATTCGCATTTCGAGGGTGCAAAGCACAGTCCGAAACGACTGGCACCTAGTTCTAATCCGTCCAGTGCTGCTTGGCATGCTTGGGAGCTGTCACATATGAGAGCAATGTCGTCGGTAGACTTCAAGTCAAGAAATCGCTCACGAGGAAGCAGCTCCACACCTTATAGGTAAAGCCAAGTGAAAGCTGTTTCCATGAATTCGCTAATAGCGAAGAGAAAAGGTGACAGCATGTAACCTTGTCTCACATCACTGGAGATTTTAGGAGCACGGCTGACTTTGAAGCCAATCACTGACATTCGATCGCTGGCGCCGGATCGGAAGTAGAGCGCGCCTTGCATCCACATTGTGCAGTCGGAAAGTAATCGCATAACATAAGAAGCAAAGAATGTGCACCGGTGAAGCAACAGACGGATAAAGTGGAGAACGAAGATCTGGAACACGGAGTAGGGAACTTCAAACCTAATAAGTCGTGAGAAAATGCTAATGCAAAACTGTAAGGTTTGAACCGATGAGGTTAGGCAGCACATGTTGCCTAGTATTCGGCGAGCGAGTGTAAGATATGACGCTAGATGCCAGAACATGGAGCCCCAGGTTCCAACAAAAGTTCCAAACGAAGTATGCGTCAATGATCTGCGAGTTTAGTAAAAAGAAGAAAAATTCGTCAGCGAGTTATCCAAGACAAGTCATACGAGAGTCCACCGTGGATAACGGACATTAGATAAGTTGAATAAACTAGATCATGGCGCTGAAGCGCGGTGGATCCAGTTGCGACGACTCACATTACCAGAATAACGATAAGTAACAATGGTAAGGAAGTGAAGTTGAGAGCAAAGAGAACACGAAGAAAACGGAATCGAGAATTGTGTTACGCTGATCGGAATGGAATGAAAATTAACAACCAGATGCAAGAAACCGAATGCAGCGACGCCATTGACTACGCGACTGCACCATGTTTGAAAGGGTCTGCAACAACTACTGGACCGCCCGGGACTCCCAGCAAAGAAGAAGACACATCCCAGCCTGACCAAGCCTCACGGTCAGTTTCCTTCATGCTTTTATACCACACCACAGATTGGTCACCTCGCAGTTCCGCCCAATTTGACGCAGTCACGGCGTATAGTGCACGCAGAGCAAACTAGTCAAAGGAACACACAGAAAGTATGATCTTACTAACGTAAGCGGTTAAGCCTGAGCAAACACTAAAGTGAGGCTAACTGCCAAAATAACCAACTGCCCACTACATGTGGGCAACACTCCGTAAGCACCATGGTGTGAAAACACGACTGTGTTTAATGGCTTCACTGCGAACGGACAAGGTCTATGACCCATACAGTAACGCCGTTTTTCGCAGCAATATACACCCAATCGTTCAATGACAGGCTGATTTTCCGCCGTCACCATAGATGACTGAGCCTATGTAGAGCCACACGTGCCTTGCTAATACGCGAAATAACCTCCCCTATGACGTGACTATCATAAGTGACATAGTTAG